AGAAGAATTAAAGGAGTGTATTTATGGTGCTGTGAAGGGTTGGGGCGGGGGCGGGGGGGGAGGGGGGTCAACTTAAAAAATAAGGAAAAATGTGGCATACATTTGTATTTACTCCCCCTTTAGTTTGAAACTCTTACAGCACAGTGAATGAAATCAGAAGACTGTAGGAGATATAAATAAAAACAAATTGAGTCCAATAGTGTGTCATTTCATCTGAATACTGTACAAATACAGATGTTCTCTGAAGGCTTTTGAGGTTTTTTGGAGAAAATCAGTGAACAGAAGCAGAATAAAGACGGAGGAACACAGCAGAAAGACTACAGGGATCACTGTGGGGAGATTTACGGCACATTTAGTTTATAAAACAGTACAACAAACCTGAGACAGCCTAAACTAACCAGAAAAGGAGCCAGGAGGTCCACTGTAGCTTTGGAGGAGATGCAGAGATTAGCAACTCATGTTGAAGAATCGATTGGCTGCAGATAGGAAACACATATGTCTGACCTTCTTAGGAGAATGTATTCTGTTGTGGGGATGCTTGACAGGAAGATGAATAGAGCTAAAAACGAGGGCAATTTGACTCCTGCAGATGTGCCAGGCTGGTGGAGACATGCCCCTACAGGCTTGTAGATATAACTGCAGTAAAAGTTTAACAAAAGTACTCAAATAAAGGGGCTAAATACAAAAATCACGATCCATGTTACTTACACTTCACCTTTTATGCAGTTCTTGGTTGGTCGCTTACAGAAAACCATTGCAAGTTTCTAGCTGTGACTCAATAAATGAGTATAAGTTCAAGGGGCATTAATCCTTTTACAATGCACCACATCCTTACAGAGATGATCTCTAAAGAAGGGTTTTTTTTTTGTTTTTTTAAGCACAATGTAGTTTGCAGAAAGGCACATTTTTACATTTGTCCTCACTTTTGTGACCTGCATAAAAGCGCCATTGTAGTGAGAGAGCAATATAAAGCAGAGCAGAGAGGCTGCGATTGAGACTGATATTATGATTGCACCAAGCTAACTTATTCTCTCACAGGAATAAAGTATGATACACAAACTCAAGGTATCTGTCAGCAGTAATAGTGCCGCTCGCTTTAACTCCAATTTAAAAATCGGTGCGCCACACAGTCTGCCGGCCTCCCTGAATCAGAAGGAGGGGAGGAATTTAAAGAATTTAAATCTGCTTTCTACAAAGCCTGTCATCGTGCTCTAATACTGTATTAGCTTTTTGAAGGCTGCCAGTTCACAGAATCGTCCCCTTGAAGTAAAATCCCTGTGAAACTAAGGTTTGTTTTTAATTGTTTAGCTCATTAAAACACCATAACGCTTTGACCAGTAACAGAATAAAAAATAAAAAAAAGACAGAAATAAAGTCAATGGCTTCACGGTAACCAACTCATCTTTGTTGTCCTTCAACTCTCAGTGTCTCCTCTTTATTTGAGTCTTTAACAGTTTATCTGAAAGCCAAAACACTTCATTTGTATTAATGGAGAATAATAAAGTTTGGCGAAGCTTGAGAAGCTAATTATCTCCAGCCTAGTCAAAGGAACGGAGATGGACAGCATACTAAACAGTCCGGCGTGTAGGAAATGGAGACCGAGTGTGCGTTTTTGTCAGATATTAATTTTAATAAAATATCACCTCTCTAACCAGTCTGAATAAGGAGGTTTATTGGGTCTCACTTTCACCATCCATTCCCTCATATTTCCCCTCCACGTCGTACATCATTAAGATCGCCCGAGGATGAAGAAGAACATTTCCCCTTCCGAGCACTATTTATATCCAAGCGGCTCCGGCTTGGAATCCCAGTAAAAGACAGGCAACAAATTCAGAGAGAGCACTGGACCCTTGAGACCTGAAATAATATATTACTTATTGTGTATAATTCAAATAGCCATCCATCCGCAGTTAGTCATTCTGCTTGCATCAGGCCTTTCCCATTCATTATCATATCAGTTAACATGATTTAATGCAAATGGCTCCACCCAGAAGCGGCGCCCAGATATCAATTACTGACAGGGAGTTGTGCGCGACAAGAGTTATTATGGTAACGGCGCTGAATTAAATTGCACCACAGAGGAAGTTTGTGAATGACAGCAATGGATGAGACATTAGCAGGGAGCACGGGGGAGAGGAATAAAAACGCTGCGTCTCCTCTTCTTTATTCTCTAAAGAACCCTCTTGACACTTGACGAGCCACCAACCAGACGCCGACTCGAGAGGATCCGACGTCTCGAATCAATGTTATTCCAACAAATGGTGATGAAATAACCTATACTCAGAGGCTCTCCATGCAATGGGATTGCCACCCACTATCTACAGAGAAAACACACTGAAATCATTAAGTCTCGCAGCGGTGAATCAATGGCTTCATACAGATTCGGCTCATGCAATGCGCTGATATGTTTATCTCTGCAGTTATCGAGCTCTTTGCCCGACCCGTGATTATGGTAAGGACACTTCAGGAATAAATTACAGCTTCGGAGTGAGGCGGTGCCTCACAGAATTATTAATCCCCCTTAAACTTGTCCACATGTTTTTTCTTTTTCAGAATTACAAACTTTAACGTTTTCATCTGGGGGTTTGTCCGACAGACCAACACAACGTGATCCATGATGGTCTTTTGGAAGGAAAAGAGTGAATGGCTTTCGGATTTAAAGTATCTGAAAAGTGTGGCATGCATATGCCACAATTCCTGTGAGCGCGTTTCACAGTAGTTATACAGCAGTACAACTTCTGAGAGAAGAAACTTTTCACATCTAGAAAATGGCATTTTTGCAAAAAGTCCAGATTGTGAATCCTGGGTTGCTGAAAACTGCAGAAGGGAATTATTTTTGGCTCAATCCCATATTTGTAGAGCGTAAAACTAATAATTGTTCTGCAGACAGATTATCACACATTAACACCAGCTGATCGCTAATCACCGGGAGTCTCTTGGGTGAATCTCTGTTCAGTGGTCTCCAATAACACAACGAACATAAATTTCTCCAAAGCCTCGTCCCTCACCTGTCCTCATGTTTGATCCCTCACAAATCTCTGAGGCATTTAAGGAAAAGCTGCTCGGATACAGAGATTAAATTGCACACTATTTGCCAACTGAGGACTTCTGAGGGTAATTGTTTGCTGTTTTTTTTACCTATTTAGAAAATCCAATAGTAAACAAGGGATGAATTCAGAATATTTCGGTATTTATCTTTATCTTCCACTTCACAAATACGCACCACTATTAGTTGGTCTACCACATGAAACACCAACAAAATATACTGAAATGTATGGTTGTTGCACAAAAAAAATGAAAGGGATAAAAAAAAAGAAAGAAACGTTCACGAGGTATAAATACTTGCCAGGCACTGTACGTGCTCTGTCTGGAACAGATTATATAAATATGTAACAAAACTCAGCTATTCTGTTTCGGATCAATGACAGAATCATCAAATGCTTTGTGGTTGTGAAATTCACGGTGCAACCTTTCACGAGTTCCCTTTATCAGAGCTGAAGAGTCACAGAAGATGTTTTGCAAATCCTTCCAGATGCAACCAGTTTTCCCAACGGGACCTCTGAAGAATGAACTCTGGTCCCAGGGGGAACGCAGGGCATTGCATTTATAAGCAGATGGTGGCAGCGTCGAACTCCCACAGGAGATCACAACAACATTTTCCTCCCTCCTTGAAAAACAGTCGAGCACACTGCGGAAAAACAGAATACGCAGGAGAATAAAGCCTTTCACACAGAAAGTCAGTGAGCCGGCATTGATAAGTGCAACATTTTCATTAAACAGTAAAATGAGTTTAGTGATATAAGAATATGCTTCTGTCAGGAATTCCAATAAACCGAAAGGACTCGAGACTTTTTTCTTTTTTTTCTAATCAAACTGCAGCATCAACTTTGACATAGTTTACAATAACGTGATATTATTTTCTGCAGACCCTCGCTTTCAGTTCCCCCAGTCTGCTGATAAAGCAGTCAGGTATGAAATCAGCCCAGGAGCATCACAATTGAGATGAGATCAGTTTTATGCAAATTATCAGAGATTGAGCGTGATATTAAAAGCTTTAGTACTGACAGTATGTGACTCTATTACCAATATTAATGTTTAAGAACAAATCAATCTGCTTCAAAGAATGCAATGCAACCATTTTAGAATTAAAAATGGACTCCAGTTGAAAATCTCTTTTAAAAATTATTCATGACCACGACTGACCAACTGGAGATTCAGCATTGCAAATATTAAAGCCGCAATTTTACTATTAGA